CACACAAAATGGTAAGAGAGGTGCCTCTTGGTGTTGTCAGCTTATATCATTTGCTGCTCCCCCCACATGCAGCTAAGTCAACTGATTGGGTGGCGGTGGGGGTAACTGACTTGCCCAACTCCTTGATGAGTGTGGGAAGGTGTGACTATAGCTTGCTGGCATAGCAGTCGGGGACATTTCCAGTTAACACTCCACCCCTTCCTCCGGCTCTTACATTCTTTCCACCAACCTCTTCTGCAAAAGTCCCTGAGCCTTGAAGGGAGTGGTAGGTTTGGGATGATCTTCCTCCCATTGTGGCAAGGCACTGAACTTTCAGGTCTCTGCATTATCTCTTTTCCATGGGCTGTTGGCCAGTTTCAGTGGGATTCCATCTACTATAAAAACATACACTGCAAGGAGCAAGAACATCTAAACAGTGACTATAATAACTATATAACTATAATAACTTAACCTATGAGTGTCAACACAAATGCTTGGTCAGTACTTTAGCAGGTGCATCATTTTCATCTAACAAAGCAATTGCAGTGATTTCCCACTGGGGCCTATATTCTCCCCTGCCACAGGGGGTTGGCTGGGTCTACAGTACCAAATGTGTGTTCCACCCCTAGAGGTGGGCATTATATCCAATTGAAAAATTGCTGGTTGTACATACAGCAGACACTCCACTATTTAGCCAGCAGGAATATCTTGTTTGGTATGTTGGTAGTGCAATATGCTGGATCCATTATGGAGGAGAATCATAGGGGACTATTCTTCCCCAGTCATCTGCATGTTGAGGCTCTCTTGCCTTTTGTGCAGCTGTGGGGAAGTCACAATCCTGGCTTGGATGGAGACTTTCCAGTGTGGCCTTCAGAGGGGAACACCCACACTCCCGTAAGTAAACCCTCACCTATTGCTCTATAAATAAATAAGCCCCAAAAAGTTACTGGTTTCCCTGACTGCAGTTTGGCAAAATCAGACCTTGGTTTGTCATGGAACTAAGGAGGGGTAGTGGACATTGTTTATGCCTCTTAGAAGGAATTTTAGCTACAATGGGGTAAATTGGTTTTGTTTGTTTTTTCTGAGGCAGGGTCTCTCTGTAACCCCAGCTGGCCTGAAACTCACTATGTAGACCAAGCTGGCCTCCATCTCTCAAGAGACCACCTGCCTCTGCCTTCTGACTACTGGGATTAAAGGTGTGTGCCACCATGACCAGAAGTACATGGGGCAAATTGTTAGTATTTCATAGTAAGTTGACTCTAGTCAATGAAAATGTACATTTCAAACTGTGAGATAAATTTTGAAATGTCTGACTATAAAAAATGATGCAATAGATATATTAATTAGCTTAATTTCATATTCACTGCTACATACATATATCAAAATATCATACCGTATCCCATATGTATATATAAATAAAATATATTCATTAAATATAAATAAAAATAAATCACGATGTTGGAAGGGCTGCATTCCTTTTGGAGGTTTCCAGGAGAACAGCTTCCCAAGGCTGCCTTCACTCCTTGGATCTTAGAAGAACCTTAAGGGTCACACTAGGTTCTCTCAGCTAATCCATAACTATCTTCCCATTTTAAGATCCTTAATCATTATCTGTCAAATCCCTTTTATGATGTTATATACTCATAGGTGCTAGAGGTTAGGATGTGAATAACCTGGGGGTCATTATTCAGCCTACCACACCTGACCATACATACAGTCCTATACATGTGCATGTTTTGCAGGAAATCCATTTTTAAAGTCATTTAGAATCACAGAATTCCAGAATGTAGGGTTGTTTGTTTGTTTTGGTCTTTTTGAGGCGGAGTCTCCCTGTAGCCCCAGCTGGCCTGGAACTCACTATGTAGACCAGGCTGGCCTTGAACTCACAGAGATCTGTCTGCCTCTGCTTCTCAAGTGCTGGGATTAAAGGCATGTACCACCAATGTCTGGAATATTTTTATTTTTTTAAGATTATTTTATGTGTGTCTGTATGTGTATTCCACATATGTACAGGTGCCCACGTAGGCCAGAAGAGGGGTGGCAGGTCCCCTGAAATTGGAGTTATAAGCAGTTGTGAGCTACCCAACAAGGGTGCTGAGAACCAAACTCAAATCCTCTGGAAGAAGAGTAAGAGCTCTTTATCACTGAGCCATCTCTTTAACCCCATGGAACATAGTTATTACTGAAGGGCTATTCCAGTCAGCCCAAAATTCAGGTCATTAGCAGGAAGTTCTCTAGAATCCAACAAAAGACATATAGCCCTGTCCTGGAATAAGACCTGGTACAAAAATGCCAGTATGTTACTAGATACTTCAAAAAAGGGGACCACTGAGATGACTCAGCAGATAAAGTATTTGCCATGCCCCCCGCCACATAATAGAAAAACTAAAAAAAAAAAAAATAAAAAAATAAAAAAAAATTAAGTCTTAATTTAACAACTAAAATGGCTAAGAGAACAGAGATGCTAGGAACAAACAGTAATTTGAGGAAGGTAGCTTTCAGTCTTGAAAGGTATGTGACACTATTCCTGGGGTGATGTGAACAAATGTCTACTGTACACCCAGAGGGAACCTACAACAGACCAAAGTAAGGATACCACCAAAGTCCGACTTGGTGAACCAATGAGTTTTATTGGGGTTATAATACAGGAGTATGGGTGAGAGGTTTCTTACAGGACAAAAATAACTCAAAGCCGCCACCAAACACCTAGCCCACCATGGGTAACATCACAAAAGCTTGAAACCTGGGGCTTACTGCACAATTTCCAGGCAGTTCAACAGGTTGTAGAGTCTCTTCAGTTGCTCCAAGCCTCTTCAGGCATTCTAGCTGGTCTCTGCTTCTTCCAGGCAGCTGGCTGATCTGAGTCGCGTCCAGGTACCTAAGCTACTCTGAGAGTATCCCTCAGTGGTCCTTCCTGCTTATAAGTTTGGGGGAGGGAGGGTCCCAGAGCATCTCATCAGTTTTCAAGGACTTCTTGAAGCTTCTGCGTTGTTTACTTCCTGAGTCTTAATCAACCTCCCTTTTAGAACATCCTGGGTCTTAATGAGCTTCCCCTCCAGGATGGAAAGTTTCACTTTTCTTTAAGAACGTCTGGTGTCTTTAGAAACTTTTCTCTAAGATAGAATGTTTTATCTTGGAGGAAATTGTTATATAACAAAAGGGAAATGGTGAGGGGGATTATGAACAAATAACACAAAGATGCTAAAAAGCACAGATAATTGTTATTTTTCATAAGTAAGAAATTTACAATATTCCATACCCTAAGGACATGGCATAGAGGACTATATGAGACACCAGGCCCTTTCTCTCCCTACATGCAGAGGAGAGGCCAAACCAGGACATGGAGAAGGTAGATGTCCATAAACTAGTAAGAGTGACTGCATCAGAAATTAACCCTAACAGCACCTTGATTTTAGACATCTAATCTCTAGAAATTTGAGGAAACTAATTTCTGTTGTTTAAGTCATCCAATCCGAGGGTTTTTTTTTTTTTATGGGAACTCTGGTGACAGGAACTGAAAAGATCTTTTGGTAGATGTTTCTAATATCATGAAATTATTATAAAAATTGTCTCCTCACAAAGACATTTATTGGTTTTAGATTTAACACAAACATTCATTCAATCACCTGATAAATATTCCAGTAAAATGTTAGGCTGCAGATCTTGTAGGTATAGTGGGGGTGGGGGTGGGGGGAATATATTGGGATATATCTGTACAAAGGACAGATAACACAAAAACTAATAAAAAAATATCATAGCACAGTACAGCAATGAGTATACCACCTTTGTAAACCACAGTAGCAGAATCCTGAGAGTGTGTGCCAAAATATTAGGCAGATCATAAGAAAGGTAAAACGTGGCTGTAATAATTTGGGGGAAAAACTCATGTTGAACTACAGTATACCAGAAAGTTTTCATGGAGAAAGGTAGCCAGCATAATTAAACCACTAGATCAGACAATTTTTATTTTTCTTTGTTTTTTGAGGAAAGTTTTTGCTGTGTAACCCCAACTGGCCACTAACTCTTGACTTTTCCACCCCTCCCTCCCAAATGCTTGGGATTACAGGCGTGAACCACCACACCCAAATAGTCTTACATTTAAAAAATCTATACTTTGAAACATTTTTGCATAATATATATTTTTAAATATTTTATATTTTCAGGTAATATGCTTGGGGCACAGAGAAAATAAGATTAACAAAGATTGTGTGAAGAAATTTGCCATAAGTGTAATTTACTGAACTGCACTAGTAAAAACACGGTATTCCCTTAGAGAAGGAAGATGGAGCCAGCCATCAGCTCACAGCAGCATTCCTTCACGTGAGGACCGAAGCACAAAGTGCCTATGATGTCCTAGGCACCGTCTGGGGCACACAATAGGCACAGTCCCTGTTGCTAGGAATACAACAATGAATAAAGCTTCCAAAAATTTCTACCCTTGTGACACTTACATTTTCATGGAGGCAGAAACATGATTTAAAAACAGGAATTAAATATGGAATAAATCGTGTAAAAGCTATAGAGAAAAAGGAAAGAAAGGGGGCCTGGGCGTGGTGGATGAGGATTCTGCTCAGAGATCAGCTGGTCTCATGATGGCATCTGAACAAAGGGTTTCCATCCACCCGGTGGAGCCGGGTCGGAAACCCATCTTGGTTCGGGAAAGACCTACTCGACTCCTCCAGTTGTTCTAGCTCCGATGCAATGCCCAAAGCCTCGCCAAGTCCTCGGCGCCCATCTCGCACCCAGAGGCCGCAGCATCAGCGCCCATTTTGGGAGAAGAGACGGAGAGACCCAGGCACGACCCCGCCACACAGCGAGGAGGCAGCAGCCGGGACTTCCACCGAGGTCTGACCCCCCCCCCCAGCCACAAAGTCACCATTCTAAGCCCTGTCAATCGCCGGAGCTGCCCTGGCGAAGCCAGGATGGAAGAAGCGACTCCCAGACCCCCGCGCGGCCCCCGCTCACCGCCCGCGGGGCCCCGGCCAGCAGCCGCCGCACCGGGCCACCCGGGTCTCTGTTACCTGTGGCGGAGCCAGTGCCGCTCCCGCGCTGCTCCGGGCCGCCGCGTCCGCCCCCGCCACTGCCCCAGCGACAGCGGTGGCCGCTGCGGCCACCACCACCGTCGTCAGGGCCGCCATGTTTCCTCGCCGAGACGCTCGCGCCGCTGTCGGGGAGCAGCTCCCGCCCAGCGCTCGTCACACCGGTGCAAAGCGCTAGAGCAGTCACCGAGGGCAGGGCGGACTGCCAGGTAAAGCGACGACCCGCGGAGGGGGCGGAGCCGAGGGATGGGCGGGGCCCGAATGCGGGCTGAAGAATGGGGCGGGGTCTAAGGACAGGGCGGGCCCAGAGTGGGCGGGGCCTGAGTGCGGAGGCCAGGTATGGCGCGGGGCCTGAGGGCGGGGCTGAGGGATGGGGCGGAGTCGAATGACAGGGCTGGGCCGAGGGCTGGAGGCCGGGGTCAAGAACAGGGCGGGGCCGAGCCGAGAGATGGGGTGGGGTCCAAGAACAGGGCGGGGCCGACGGAAGGGGAGGGGTCGAATGACAGGGCGGAGCTCCGGGATGGGACAGTGCCGGGAGCCCGTGGTTGAGGAATATGGCGGGGCCGAGGGATGGGCGGGGCTTGAGTGTGGAGCTGAGGGATGGGATGGGGTGGAGCTGAGGGTTGGGGAGGGCCCGAGGAATGGGGCGGGGTCGAAGGTTGGGCGGAGCCGAGGGATGGGCAGGGTCGAGGACAGGGCGGGGTCGAGTGAGAGGGCGGGCCTGAGGGATGTGGCAGTGCCAGTGCCATGGGATTGAGGAATGGGGCGGGGCCGAGGGAATGGGCGGGGCCTGAGTGTGGAGCTGAGGGATGGGGTGGGGATGAAGTACAGGGCGGAGCCGAGGGTTGGGGCGGGCCCGAGGGATGGGGCGGGGTCAAGGGATTGGGCGGGGCTGAGAGATGGAGCTGGGAGAGGGAAGGAATCCTGTGAAGGACTGGGCCGGGGAGGAGCCAGGTGCTGCAAAGGAAAGAGTCCCTGGACAATGTGGGGTGTAGGTCAGCGGTGAAAGAACTGGACTGCGCCATTGGGCAGGGTACACAGTGGGTTGGCGTGGCTCTGTTTTGGACTGATATGAGCTCAGCTCATATTTGCTCTGTTCGCCCACTCCTAGAACTTCGGCAAAATTCAGTCTTCTTAAAAAATTATATTTGTGTTATAGCCAATGTATGTATCTTTCACATGATAGAACTGTTTTCTGGTTTTCTACTTCTCTAAGTGCTGATGAAACTGAGTAAATGATTAAAGCATGCAGATGAGTTCTAGCAATACAAAGAAAAATAATTCAAAGAAAAAATTTCTGCCAAAGGAGGTATCAGCCAGGAACGCTCTGCTGCCTTCCTAGGACTTGCTCAGTAAGAAGAGAGATCCCAAAGACAGTGTTGATAAGTTAAGAAAAAGACGGAAGGGCCCACTCAAAAGCAACCTGTGGCAATGGACCTAGTTTCTATAAGTACTTCTTTTTTTAATTTTATTTTATGTGTATGCGTGTATTGCCTGCATGTATGTAAGTACTGATGCTGCAGGAAAGAACAGCAACAAAGCCTTCTTGAAAGCCAGGCAGACTGAGTCCAGGGCACAGTCAGGTTTCATCCCTGTTAGGAATGCAGACTCTTCTTGACATGGTAGGGTGAGGACAAGAGAGACCTGCTCATTTGTGTTGCTTTTCAAAGTGGTAGATTCAGAGGAAAAAGATGGCTTCTTCCAAAGAGACCAGCACGTAGCATAAGAAAGTCACTTGGGTACTGAGAAAGTGAAATATTTGCAGTTCACACAAAATGAAGTCAGTTGCTGCAGCACCATTCAAATTCCTATAATTGTTAGTGTGGAATTAATTGAATTGTGTGGATATTTAAGGCAACACTGGGCTGGTGCCTATAAAGAAAAACAGGAACAACTACCAAGATGTTCACTCTCCTTATAGTTTTTAGGGACTTGTTAGGATGAAACCTCCCACGCCCAAATAAAGACTCTCATTAGCAGAAATCTGCAGCAGGCCTTTGTGACATACACATGGAACTGCCTGTATCCTCACCTCTAGGCCCTTTCAGTGGTCAAAGCTATGAATATATTTTACTCTATGGCTTCTTTTTTAATATATTTTTGCATTAATTCTAGCTTAACATGACAGATTTATCTTTCCCTAATTTTTAAATTTTGGATTTTTTTTTGTACTAAAGGTTGTTGTTACTTAGAATGTCAGCATATTTAATTGCTCCCTTTAATCTAACAATCATGTGTCAGATTACAATTCTATTATTACCACTAACAATAAATCTACTGGGTCAAGTGTAAGATCCTTGTTCTTGTCCTTAAGATACGTCCTGCATGAGAGGTCCAGTCCATGTGTTGTTTAAAAGTTTTCTGACATCAGACTTTTTTCTGTGTGACTAAGGAATCAATTTTATTTTAATTCCATTTATCATTTATAGTCAATATCATTGTTATTTTTTGTTGTTTTCTTTTTATTTATTTTTAAAATATGCAAGATGTGTATAACCTATGCAAAGTCAATATTATATATGTCAAGACATGTTTAATGAAGTCTTTTCCCTAAACACATTCTCTCATACCATGTCAACTGATCTTTTCATAACCATTTTGGGTCACTTATGACTTTTTCTTTTTAACTTCTTTTTGCCAAAAAGTAAATATACATACAAATTCTTACTATTCTTAGAGAGCATTCCTCATAATTGTCCTAGCAAAGGATGGGGAAGCTAGGGTTTAACCTAACAAATCCCAGACATCATTGGTTGAGTGTTGCTATGAGGTAGGTGTTCACTCCAGCTTTTAGAGACTGCAAAAGAAGCAGAGCAGAGGGAGAAGCAGAGAAAGGCCTGTGTGCAGGTGGAGGTTGTGAGTATAGATGGATGGACTCAGATGTGGGAGACCTCAGTGTCCACTATAAAGGAAGAGAGCAAAAGATAGTATGACCCTTTAAAAAGAAGCTTGCCTGAGTCTCCCACTACCTTCCACTTCCACATTATCAACCATAGCTGAGTCATAGGGCCGCCTCTAACTGTAAGGCATCCTGAAAATGCACTTTATCTGAGTTGTTAAGAGGCTAAATGAGTTATGCTAGCATTGTCTGCTACAGCAACCTGTCTTCTTTTTATTTTTAGTATGGTGTGTGTTTGTGTGTGTGTGCGCGCGTGTGTGTGCGCACACATGCGTGCGCGCACGCATGCGGTGTGTGAGTGTACTGTGATACAGGTGAGGAGGTCAGAGGACTACTTGCAGGAGTTGGTTCTCTCCTGCCACATGGGTCTTGGAGATTGATCTCAAGTTGTCAGTCTTGGCAGTCAGCATTTTTGCCCAGTGAAGTCATCTCCTTGGCCCCTGTCTATCTTTTTATCATTCCTGGTTTTGCTGTGGTCTTTGAGGCAAGCCCATTTTTCCTCTAAGGGCAATCTACTTTTTCATTTAAGAATGCTTATAGTGTATATGGTGGTGTACATCTTTAATCCCAGCACTCAGGAGTCAGGGGCAGGCAGATCTCTGTGAGACCAAGGCCAATCTGGTCTATATAGTGAGTTCCAGGCCAAGTGGGACTACAGGGAGACCTTGTCTCAAAAAAAAAAAAAAAAAGTTGATTTGTTGATGCTGTGTTATTTGGTATATATAATTTCTAATTTAGATCTTCATTGTGTGTTATAACTTATTATAAAGTATCCTCCTTGTTTAGTGATTAATATTTCCTTGGATTCAATTTTATATTAAAATCTGAACTGTATTAGCAACCTAAGTTACTCCATCATGCTCAGAATAGCTATTTTAACAGTAACCTCTTTTCACTTATGGGAAATATTTAAAAAGAGACAACAGCCTTGAGTTCTAAGAAATAGCTCAATCACAACCCAATGGCACATGCTAATCTCAGACATTTTACATCTGGCTAACTGCTTGTTTTTGCTTCTGTAACTCCCTTGCTATTTTAGGTCACCTTGACACAAAGTATAAGACCACCCTGTTATTGTCTGACCACCCAGTAACTGCCGATTTCAGTTTTCTTACTATACTTGTTATGGCTAGGAAGTTGACTAATTTTAAAATTACAAAGTTGATTTCCAAGCTATATGACTATATCACTTGTCTGTATAATGATTGGTTGTTGATTAATAGATTCAATGTTCTGCTATGTTGTAAAACCTGATTGGTTCACAGTGTCCTGTTCAAATAATATATCTTGTAATCCTATAAAAACCGTGACCCAACAATGATCAGGGCTGCGTCTACTGCCGAGATAGACAGCCTGGCTGCTCGAAATAATAAACATTTACCTTGCTACTTTTCTTAAAGTGATGCTGGTGATTTTTTGCGAACTCTGACCTATAACAAAAGCATTATCTGGTGATTCATTTTATTTGCACTTTCCTGTGAGCCTTTGCACACCCTAGCTTTGTTTCAACATTTTCAAGTCACTTTGTCTAGGCATGTCTCTCATAAGAGTGACCACTACTTTACAGTTAGGATATTTGTCAAGTCACAGCCTCATATTTCTGGCTTCCACTGTCAAATTTTTGAAGAAAAATAGCTCTGTATTTACTGTCACCAATTCTGGACTTTCTACTGACTTTTCAAGTACTAGGGGTGTAGCTGAGTGGTAGAGTCCAGCATTCATAAGACTCTGGTTCAATCCCTAACAGTACAATGACAGATACACCTCCCCCACACACACACTCCTCTTAAACCTCCCCAAACAGTGCCACCAACTGGGGACCAAGTGCTCAAATACTTTGAGGCTATGGGGAACATTCTCATTTAAACCACTACCCACAGTGAATACTGAAAAGGGTGGAGGGCCAGAGAGTGCAAGAGGGACTTTATAGGTTTCATTTGGGTAACACTGACTTTTAACACCTGAAAAAGAATCAGATCCAAGGTAACTGGAAAGTGTATAAGCTCCTTGTAAAATACCTAGAGGCAGGGAGTAGATACGCAACATATCAGATTGAAAAAGCAATGAATAAGAGAAAAAAAAGAAGGCTATTTCCTGTTGAGAACCAATCAAATTTTGTCAGATTAATGAAACTGTTACTATTGTTGACTAGTGATTTTCAAATGCTTTCCACAAGATCAACTCAACAATGATGAAACAATATGTGGAGGAATTATCCCAGAATGTTATCTGAAAAAAATCATATGGATGCCTCTGCCCATGTCCTGAATTTATTCTTTTAAATAAGGTTTATCTATCAGCCAAATATTTGCGTTCCTAT